TCAGCCCTCTTACATGAATTGCATGGGCTTCATGGGCTCTGTTGGACATCTGAGTACAGGGTGTTGTTGCATCAGTACGGGACACCCCCATATTCTGTCGGTTGGAACTTCGGTTTAATATCTCGTCGTCCATAAAGGTAGCCCAATAGTCTGAAAATAATGCACAAAAATATCATAGCACTCAAATACATCTAATAAATAAATAAGTCGAAAACATATAAGTGCGATAAAAAGTAAGCATATAAAAATACGCTAATAAATATATAAAACACACATTTTTCCCGACCAATCAACGTAGTTAGAATTTGTCTTTTCTTTATATACATTAGATCACGAAATTCAAAGAGAATAGATTGGTTTCATTGTTCTCTCCTAAGCATATTGAGTTAGCATATTCTCTGAAAGTTTGTGGGATTGTTGATTATATTTTATAACTTGTGAATTTAAAAATTATGTTTTGCGTTCCAACATCTCTGAAGTACTAAAACATAGGACCTTTTTACTTTCGATTATTGCCAGCTTGAAGGGATACTTGTAATAGGTGTATGGTCCACATTGTGGCCAAGGAAGTTGTCAGTATGATCGGGTATAATTGTGGTAGGTTTAGGAGGGAGTCATTTACTTGTAATTTCAAACTATATACTAGCGGAGGCAACGTCTTTTTATGAAAGAGCTCTACGATGCAGTGAGATGCTCCACGAAGACAAATTTATTAATTCTCACTTTCGCTTAAATTTTATATTCTTACACACGTTGCACACTCCCGATCTATTTTTCACCTACTGGGTGATAATTTACGTACACCAATGTCATTATTTTACAAAGTCAATTGTCAGCCTTGCCCTAATAAACTCATACATTTTCCTCATCACAAAGTAAATTAATAGTATACATTACTCTCGAAAATATTGTACCATAACCATAATAAATTGTAAACTACTGTTATTCAAATAAAACGGCTAGACATTCATACTTTTTCAATAGATATACATATTGTTGAAACTCTGAAAAATGAAATAAATAAAAAGTGACATTTATCATTAAAATTATTTTTTTTTTCTAAAAAATTATATGATGGATCGATCGATCAGTCAACCATTAGACTGGTTGACACAAGAATTTGTGTACTAACATACATTCACAAATTAAATCAAGCATTCCCTTCAATTAAAAAAAAAAATAAATCATAAAATAGATTATATATAAAAAAAAAAAAAAAATCAAACGCAAACTCTATACAAAGCCAAGTTGGGGGCCCATTTACTTCTCTTATGATAGTAGACTATTTCTACTTTTCAGATTCAAATCCTAAACTAAACTCTACAAACTACAAAAATCTTTGGGCCTTAAAACGGTGACTGGGCCTTCAAGTGAAGGATAAAATTTGCTGTCAACTCTGGTTTTCATGTTGCCTTTAGCATTTAATTCCATGTTAATTGCATACATGAGAAGTGAGAATATGGTTTTTTTTTTTTAATCAGGTTACCTAGAAAATCAATATTATTATAAAAAATTATATTATTACGCTAATTAAGGTTAGGCAAGTCAGTTCGCCTTACTTTTTGAACAAAATGTGCATTTATACTTGAAATTAAATATCATTGTAGTTATGTAGTTTTAAATAACCATATTAGAGAATAATAAAATTAAAGATGTATTTACCCCAAAAAAAAAATGTCTAACAACAATCTTACCATAATATAATATCTTAAAAATTTGATATATATATATATATATATATATATATATATATATAATTTCCAGCAAATCAACTAATAAAACTTCATTTATTTTCCCTCCAAAAAATGCTAAAAAGGCATATTTACTTTATTATTATTATGTTTTCTTTTAATTAAAACTTTAAACAACTCACTAATCAATGAATATTTAATATCTCTCTCTCCATATATATATATATGTATAATTGCTAACGAAAAATTTAATATAATTATTTAGATTTTTCACATTTTTTATTACAATCCAATCATTTTGCTAAACCAGTAACTGAAACTTAATCAATTACTTTTTGAATATAATAGTTAACTAGTACAACGTCTGTGTATTACACGGGTGCTTGCTATTTTTTTCTTAAAATATAAAATTAATGAGAAAAAGTAGTTGAAAATTTAAATACCTTTTATAAATATATATATATTATTATATATTCAGTATGATATTTTTTTATTTGTGCGACTTACCTGTGTTATATAATAATAATTTTTTTAACTTAGAACATATAACTACATTAAACATAAATATATCAATTGAGAAATAATTTTATATTTATAATAATTTGAATAAATATTATTATTTATTATTATTATAAAGATAAATATAATTTATTTATTTAATATATACAATATGGATGTCAAATCGAAGATCATTAAAAGATGATTAATTTGATATATTATATATGTAAAACCGATATAGAAAATACAAAAGTTATTAACTTTTAAAATATATTTACAATTCAATAGCTAATTAAAGGAAGCAAATCAAAAGTCAGGGATATATTAGTCACTTAGTGTCTCACTATGTAAAATACAAAGAATTAAAGGATTATATTAGTACAAGTGATATTAAAATACGTAAGTTAGTTAAATAATATTTATGGAATATCCGAACATAGATTATTAATTTTTAATATATCAATATTATTTGTCCAAACTTAATTACGAAGCATGATTTTTCGCCAAGTAGGATTCCGAAGCACCAGAAGCAGCCACGTAGGCTCAGCGCATTCGAGAATTACATATAGGGAGGATTAAATTGTAATCTTGCTTTTAATTATTCTATTATATAATAGTTATTACTAAAACGAACCGATTATAATTTACACTAGATGATATATGAAAGTTGAATAAGTATACAAAATCATATTGAAATTTTTTTTCTTAAACTATTTATTGCTCTTAAATATTATTTTTTATAAGCTAATTGTCTTTAGTGGTAAACCAAACCTATTATACTTTTATTAATAATAATAATAATAATAATAATAATAATAATAATAATAATAATAATAATAATAATAATAATAATAATAATAATACTTTTAAAGATAATTAACGGGTCATGATCTTTCAAATATATAACCACCTTATCCATTTTATTTTATGTAATCGATATAGTAATGAAAATACTTTTATAATGTTTGTTCTTATTAATGACAAAAATTTTAAATGTAATACTATTATTTAACTTATAATTTTAACATTATAGATATGCATATAACTTATATTAATAATTTAAATATACCTGCATGTGCACAACGTCGAATACTAGTATCTACTAAAAATGGGAAAAAAAAAAGAGTTGACCATGTTGCATGTGGTACAATTGATACTCTAGTGTCAAAAAATGCTAAACATCTAAACTTGTTCAAGCATAGCCAAGTGCCATTTAATTAAATACGAAGTCAAACAATTGACGAGCAATTTGGATAAGAAAATTGAACATCATAAATGCCTAACTAAATACCTATATTCCAATGAAATGTAGGAAAAAAAATTAAATAATTTATACAAGTGTTCTTTTCATAATTAAAACTTTTTTTAAAAAAATAAAAATAAAAAAATTTAGCAGCTGCAAATGAACCTATAAGTGATACTTAAAACATCAATGTCCGAAAGGAAATAAACTGCCAACTTGCAGCGAGATAGTCGGGCTGGTTTAGGCGTGGGAAAGAAATGGACCACGGCCCATATATGCATCAACATCAACTTATAAATTATGATATATTTATTTGGGAAGATGTTCGATCCCGTTACGAAAACATTCCGTCGAGTTTTATGATGATCTAACGGTTTCAAACCCAGCCTGATGAAATTATTCCTTAACGAAATTGTAGCATTTCCCAATTTTATTTGATCAAAAGCATAATATTTTATTGCATTATGTGCAAGGTTTTTAATATTGATTATTAGTTATTGATTCCGTTGACATTTGACACTGATGGACTTGGTGGTTGAATTGATTAGATTAATATTATATTCAATAATTATTTTTAATATATAGTACGTTTAGTAATAAACTTTATAAGAAAATAATCATTAGTTAACTATTTAGATAACATAAACATTAAAATGGCTAAACTAATTGACATTATAATTTATTATATTTGTATTTTTTACATTAAAATAATATTGATATCTTCTTTTAATTTCTTCTTCCTTATTTGTTTCTTTTTCTTTTTTCTTTCATTGTTTTGTCTGCTTCAATCTGTGTGAAACTAGGCTGGTCAGGTATCTAAAAATTAGAACTTGGACACCACCACATCTTTCTCACAACAGTCTTTATTTAGACAGTAAGTAGGGCTTTCAAGTCTCCACAGATGAGATTGGCAATTAGTTGCTAGCATATATTTCATATTATATGGTAAAATATAAGTATAATTACCATTTTTTTAAGAATATTTGACACCATTACTACTGCTGCTCACACTATTTAAATTACTTCATAGTCAACTCTTCACAAGTTCAAAAGTTGGAACTGTTGAACCGTTTAAACTGGTCACGATTCACCGGTTCAACCGGTTTTGGACCGGTTCAAACAGTTTCTTGAACTGGTCTCAATTAGCTTGCCGGTTTTATATGCTGCAAGTGGACCGAAATGAAGGCCGGTTCCTAGTCGAATAGGTTAAACCAGCCGGTTCGGTCTGATTTCAAAACCATATTTTGAAACGCTTATCATTTCCATGCGTCACATTATGATCTTTTATTGCGCAACGTAAATAGTCGTATGCATCGGGACACGACAAATACGAAGAATCCGTTCAATAATTTAATTTGCATAATTTATAAGTATTATATATTCAAGTGAAACAATTACTTGGAAACTATAATTATTTGAAAAAGTGTACATATACGATTTTTGGCAAAAAACCAATTTTGGTCCTCTAAGTTGACAATTGTCCATTTTTGGTACACCAACTTTCCTCTCATAAAAAAATAGTACGTTATGTTGCAGTTTTTATCACTATTGTGACAATATATTGTGACATTATCCCAAAATTATTTTTTAAAATTACTGTCCTAAAAATGATACATATTGCAACATAGCGTACTGTTTTTTATGAGTAATGTCCCAAAAACGATACAAGTTGCAACATAACGCACTATTATTGATGAGTGGAAGTTGGTATCTAAAAATGGACAACGACCAACTTAGAGGACCAAAATTGAATTTTGCCTATGATTTTTTTCAAATGATTAAGGGCGTGATTGTATATACTTTCCACAGTAAATATCCCACTGAAAACACAAATTTAACTCAACTTTAACTCAATTCCACTATCTCCAATATTATCAATAAAATTAAATAATATCAAGCAATCATTATTACGCCTCATATCAACTTTAATTCACTATTCACCCACTCACATAATTTTAATCTAACCATCACGTTCAATCATTTTCTCTTATTTTTACGCCAAATCAACTTTAATTATTTTAATTTAATTAAATATTAATAGTACTAATACTCATGTACAACATGAGTGTTGAGTTAATAAATATATGTGTAAAGTTATTTATGTCTAATACCAAACCTAACTCAGAGCAAAAATAATATAAAAAACAACATCACGAAGCATAGATTTTCACCATGTCAGCATCCGAAGCGTGACAATCTGCCACCTAAGCTCAACACGTTTTGAATTAATATATGGAGGAGTTTTAATATATCCACTAACAACTAACTATACTACTTTTTTTCAAACTTAACTATAGTTAAAAAAATAATAATTTTTTTACCACGTAATTGTCCTCCAAAAAATGTGGTACATTTTCGCAATGACGTCAGCTGTGATGCATATATACTCTACTGTCGCTTTACTGATCAACCTCTCTATATAACTCCCCATATTACCAAACTTCCCACCCCGCGCTTCTTTTTCTCTCTAACAGAAAAAAAAAAAA